CCTGAATAGCACACACACACTTGGTCCGAGTTGTCATGTGGTTGACACATCCCACAAGGACACTGATAACACCACGCAGCCACAACAAGCACTGCTCATGGCAAACATCCCGGCTGAGCCCTGCCCACAGAGCTCATCACAGACAGACTGTGACATTTCAGAACAGCTCCAAGACTCAGCACCCAAGGACGACTTTCTGGAAAACAGCCAGGGAAGCCAGGACAACATATCATAGCCACCGGAAACACCAGAGATGCAGCCCATCTCACCAGACACATTATCCCTCTCTCCAGCATCTCCACTTCTATTCTTCTCACAGAAAATGGAGGAACTGGTGTATGCTGGGACCAAGCTCTCCCACTCATTTGCTGCAAGCCCCCAGATATCAACAAAAAAACGGCGGGCCCCCAATCACCAACGCCTGTGGGCCCAGCTTGTCCTCCTCCTCCTGTGAGCTCTCCGGCCACTGCCACAACGCCAGGGCCCAAGCCCTCCATCTGCTGTAGGTGAACCAAAAACATCTGATAGCAGCTCTCAGTGATATGTGTCGGGTCCCCGCTTTGATAGCAGCAACATTCACAATTGTGAGAACCCAGTGTGCCTATTCTCTATTTCTGTTTTATCACGTGATAAAAAAGTCTAAGGCCTTCTCAAGCCGTATGGCTGACTCATCTAAACTGCGGCCAATGCGTCAAACTAAGATTGCTGTAAAGACACAAAGTAATGCCATCAAGTTAGCATTTTTAAACATTCGCTCACTAAAAAATAAATCAATGACTTAATAACCACAAACAACCTGGATTTTATATTTCTAAACAAAACATGGCTAGAAGACAGCTGCAGTGCAACAGTCCTCAATGAAACAGCCCCTCCTAACTTTACTTTCATGAGTGTCTGCAGGACTGTTAGGAGATGTGGAGGTGTAGCTGCTCTATTTAAAGATGTCTATCAATGCAAGCAAGTGTCATTTGGTCAGTACTTGTCTTTTGAATATCTAGGGATTGTGCTGAAAGGTGCTCCACGCAATCTGTTTATCATTATTTACAGGCCTCCAAAATACTCTCCAGCCTTTGTTGAAGAGTTCACAGAAATGCTATCAATGATTTCCTCAGAGTTTGACTGTTTTTCTATTGCAGGGGATTTTAATATTCACATAGATAATGCAGAAATCAAAACTTCAAAATAAATTATAATTAAACACTTTTGACCTGATTCAGCATGTGCATGAACCCACACACTATTGTGGACATACTCTAAATTTAATCATCAGTAGGGGTCTAAACATTTCATCCATTGTTATTAAGGACGTAGCACTATCTGATCGCACTCTTTTTGCTACTGTTGAGAGACTGACAAACCCCCCCCCCAAGTCAGATTTCCAGTGAAATGCTCTCTGACAGAAAATGCAATGAGTTTGCTTCCTTCTTTTCTGAGAAGATCGATAATATCAGAAAGGCGATTAGCACATCCTCAAGTTATGCAGAGGTCAGACAGATTCAACCTCAATTTCAAAAAGAAGATACTGTCTATTTTTGAAGCAATTGATAGCAAAATTTTGGAAGAAATAGTGCAGCATCTAAAATCGTCAACCTGCCATCTTGACACACTTCCCACATCTTTTTTCAAAAGGGTGCTTAACTGTTTGGAAGCAGATCTCTGAGAAGTGGTGAACGCCTCACTTCTTTCTGGGACGTTTCCAGACTCCCTGAAAACTGCAGTTGTTAAGCCCCTTCTGAAAAAGAGCAATCTTGATAACAACATTCTGAGCAATTATAGACCCATATCAAATCTTCCTTTTATAGGCAAGATTATTGAAAAGGTAGTTTTTAATCAGCTGAACAAATACTTAAACTCAAATGGATACCTGGACAATTTTCAATCTGGGTTCCGACCGCATCACATCACAGAGACAGCACTCATTAAGACGATAAATTATATTTGCTTACATTCTGATTCTGGCAAAATATCCGTGCTGGTACTAATAGATCTCAGTGCTGCATTTGACATTGTCGATCATAACATACTTCTAGAGAGACTGGAAAACTGGGTCGGGCTTTCTGGAACGGTACTCAAATGGTTCAGGTCATACTTACAAGGGAGAGGTTATTATGGGAGTATAGGAGAGCATAAGTCTAAGTGGACGTCCATGACATGCAGAGTCCCACATGGCTCAATTCTTGCACCGCTCTTGTTTAACATGCAAATGTGTTGTTAAATTATTGAAATATTAACTTCCTCAGAGATATTTCATGTAAATATTTCATGTCAGAGGGGTTTGGCTGACATAAACGTTTGGGAATCCCTTTGTGGGAATCCTTTGCATGGATCACAAAATTACTTACATGACATTTACATGGCCATTTTTGTATTGTGAATATAAAAAGCTAAATGGTGTGACGCAGGATTTTTAGACAGGAAAATTTAAAAGAGAAAAAAGAAGAATTAGTGAGAATCAATAAATTAAGAATGATTTACTGCCATTGTGTGAATAATACGTAATCCATAAAAAAGTAACTGTAATCTGATTATGAGCATTATAAAATGTAATAAACTCTAATTACGAGTACCTGATTTTGGGAAGCTGATTACGTTATCCAGATGGCATGTAATCAGTTACTACCCAGCTCTGTATATATATATATATATATATATATATATATATATATATATATATATATATATATATACATATTTTTTTATT